CATTTGAACTATTGTTGGAATTCCTTGCTGCATTAAACCATTCGAGGATCCTCCTTCACTACAGTCACTTTGTGGTTAATTACTTACAAAGTAATCAGAACAGAGAATCATAATTTTCTCATAAATGACCCAGGTCGGTGTACTCCTCTACCCATTGAGAAAAACCAGTAGGTTCTTGGTTGGCACTGGGAATCGAATCCAGTACCTTCCGCATTCGAAGCGGACGCTCTATAATCATTCAGCCACCACTATGATTAATACACACACAAAAAAAAGACTCCACCAGGAAACTATAATGCAAGGAATAACTGATTGCAACCAAGGCACTCAATGGCCTCATACCCTTCAGACACCTATTATTATGCACTGTCTATGAATCTGTCAAATTTACGTAGCATAATTTGAAGGCACTCAGTATTACATCTTTATAAAGAAAATGAAACAATTGGTTGCTTCGTGTGAGTTTGTCATTAATTATATTCAGAACAAAATATTTCATTATTCTGGTCAGACATGTTCCTGTTTGATACCGAAAGAATGAAAACGTAGGCCCCAAATATGTGCACAAGTAAATTTTTCATTGTATTCAGTTCTACAAAAAAAAAAGAAAATTAACTTTGGTTGCGGGTTCCAGAACGCGGCACATCAAACATCGCAGTGCCTTCACCAAAACAAGTGGCTACGGTCACACGCAGCACACTGAAGTTGAGACTACTGACCACGAAGAAGGTTTAGTCCATTCAATGAGCGATGCATCTTGCTCATCTTTTCACCACAAGTTGACACAACTAGCATAAAAAAGTAGTGTACACAAAAGTAGCCACCGCTGCTAAAGGAAACATTTTATCTAAATTTTTTAGTTGCACCAGTCAAGCCACATTCTTTCAGGAAATTGACCTGATTCTCCCTAATCTATTCACCGATGAAACATACATCGTTTTAAGCTCTGCTCGAGTTAAAGGCTACTAAGTTAAAGTTATTAAGGTTAAGGTTAAGTTACTAAGTTGCTAATTACTAAGTTACTAAGGCTAAGTTGCTAAGGTTAAATGCTACTAAGTTAAAGGATTATTCGCTGACGACTGCGTGATCTACACCACTATCCGCGCAACTGATGACCAGCTTAGACTTAACACCACACTAGCTAATATTGCATGTTGGTGCCTTGAGTGGAGAATGGAAATTAACGTGTCGAAAACAGCTTGCCTTAGCATAACACGCAGAAAAACAATCCAGCATTTTAGTTACAATTTGGTCGGCACAAACATTGCAAAAAACCGACGCTGTTAAATACCTGGGCGTCACGTTTACATGTAAACTGAAGTGGGATGCACATATAAGCAGCACATAGACAAAAGCCTATCGCCAGCTAGGGTTCCTGCATCGAAAACTTGCATTGACACCTTCTAATGTAAAACTGACAGCATATAAATCTCTCATAAGGTTGATCCTCGAGTGCGCCAGCATTGTTTGGAACCCCCACTAAAAATATCTTTCCAGAAAATTAGAAATCGTCCAACGCAAGGCCCTTCGCTTTCTCTATTCTAAGTATTCGAGGCATGACAGTGTCACTGAGCTGCGCAGGCGGGCGTGCTTACCGACCCTTGCAGCCCGTCGCCGTGTCTATTCCTTAAAGTTTCTTTTCCTTTTGTAGCACAACGGCTTAAACACAGATAAAGACAACTATATAAAGCCGCCTAACCATCACTTCCTTCGTACCAACCATAATAAGTGCATCAGACCATTCATGTCACGCTGTGACGCATTTAAATATTCATTCTTCCCATCAACAGTGGAACAAACTGCCACGTGAATGCGTTACTCTTTCCTTTGCAGATGCATTTGTTCGGAATGTAGAAAGCCTGTTTTATGAAGAGTAAAAGCAACTTTTGTTTTTTATGTTTGTGAGCGCTTTCGAACACACTGATCACTGTACCACCTGCTGATACCTCGATGATGTTTTGTGACCTGCCTATGATTTTGTGCAATTGCTTTCATCGTTCCAGTTTTCTTTTCACCAGCATCTTGTGATTGTTTTCTTCCGCTATGTGTGATATTGCCTGGTTCGTACGTGACTGTGTATATTTGCCCGCCCACGCTGTATGAGCCTGAGAAAGGCTTACAGTATTAAATAAATAAACAAAAAATCACCCAGAGTGCTGAGTGTATGAATTCTTTTTGTAATATGCAGAAAGATGCACAAAATATCCGCATGTCATTCAGTTGAACATCAGTGTAATCTCAAATACAATTCTCATGAAATGCACGCGAAGAAAAGTTGCATAACATACCTTTGCCCCACTTTTTCCTGTTTTTCCCACTCTTTTCACACTCGTGTACGTGTGTTCCTTTTCAAGGCACAACAGTTAGCAGAGCGTGCCCGGCCTTATGTTCTCTGCACTGTGTGTGAAGTTTCTTGATCATGAGGCAAGAAATATATAGAATAAGCAGGGATGCACAATGTGACATGATTACATAACTTAGCCACAACAAATATGAGCACTTCTAAATCTGCCTGAACATTGTTAGGGGTGCTCATGTGAGCCATCGCTTGGGTCTGTTTAAATGCTCAGAAAGAATAACAATACTGATAGTATAGTGCTTCAATAAAAATATGTTAGCAAAACATTTGTTTTGCTTTGAACAACTTGAAATGGTAGACAAGCTTCTTATAATCACTTCGTGATGCCCATCTTTACTCTGCATATCTGACAGTTTAACAGTGGTTTATTTTTCAACCTGCTGGATTTAAACAACTCCAAGTGATCACCTGCTCTACAGTGGCCTTTTTTATTTGTCAAACTTTTGCAAATGATCCTGCTTTCAAAACATGCACTAAGCCATTCAACAAAGCATATTGATAAATAAGGGCATGTAAAAAGGTAGGGATTCCTGATATTGGCGAAACTACAATACATCACAATTAGATGTGATGTATTGTAGAGCTCCATATGTACGCTTGCCCATATGGAGGCTAAAAAAACATATTATACAGTAGTTCCATGCAGACCTTACACAGCCTCTGTAATGCACCCATCAGCAGCTCTTCACTCTTCTTATTCTCTCTGCAGTACCAGCAAGACGAGTACTTGAACTTTACATCAAAAACTATATATATCTTTACATTACTTGCAGATAAACACTGCTGTGCAATCCTGCTGCTTTGCTGATAGCAGCATTTAATATGTAAATATGGCAAACTTTTTAAGCTGAAGCACAAAAGGTGTAGTGCAAAAAAAACGAAAAAACTATGGAGTGGGATACCACTTGATAGGAAAGTACACACATGCTGAATTGGAAGACCTGCACACAGCCGTGAGGCAAAAGTAGGCAATATGTAAATTATCAGCAGTAGCATTCCATTTGTGCTTCTGAGTGAAAGCACAGCATCACTAAGTTGAAGATAATCAATCCAAAAAGTAAAAAAAAACACTAGTGGCATTACCACACTTTATCCTGCTATTGGGAAGAGGCCACCAAAAGAAACTCGATGACCATTTGGTTGCATGTTCAAAAATGGCAGCAGCCTTGAAATTCTGCTGACGATTATACGGTGCTTCAACGCTCATTGCCAATCTCATACACACCTTAAATATTTGCACACCATTTGCCTCCACACACAAAACTGTTCCTGTTCGGTCATCACAGTCCTTCATGTATGTTCCAGTGTCCAGGTACTCTCTTGTCAAAAGTAGGCTACTTTTGTCTGCAACCACCAGGCTGACCTTTGTAAGGGAGTTTCTGAAGTGAACGCTCATATTCCACCATCTAGAGAAATTGTTATACCTCCAGGAGTCTGAAACACTGCCAGCTCCCAGCCTCCCCCCCCCCACACTCCTACTACAGAAATTCAAACTTGCACTTTCACCTTTCACCCCAAGTGCACATGAATGCCGATATCATAGCTGGCTGCATTATAAAGTGTTGCAGCACATACGAGATTAAAAAATGGGACAGGGCACGAGCAAAAGAGCACCCCTTGCTGTGTTTGTCCAGTCTTGTCTTCTGATCTTGAATGCACTGTAACACTTACTAAAGGATCCATACCAATTTGTCCAAGTTTCAACTCTTTATAGCTCGTTCCTTTAAGTAAGCAGACTCTTAAAAGGACTGGAACTGATTATGGGTAGTTGTCCCAAATTTTCTTTCTCTCAAAGAAAAAATTCCAGTTCCACCACTGCCCGCTATTTTTCAGATTTAGCAATACAGGAATTGCATGGTTTATAAAATGAGTGCAATGATTTGGACATCACCCCCACTGCTCAAACCAAATTTGGCATATCCATCGTAAATTTCATTTCATTTGTGAAAAATGGCTTCCACATAGCCTCAGTTCACTTTGACAATAGATAATTATGAACTTTTCCAAGTTATATCACTTCTAATTTGAAGTTTAGCAGGAGAAATTGTGTAAACAATTCTGGAACGTAAATTTTTGCACTCAGTTCGTGTTTCATAATTATATGGCAATTTTCGCTTGTATAATGCACAACCTATGACATTGCATGTAAGTGCAGGCAGGTAAATATTTTGTAGTTTAAATGCATTCATCCTTTTATGCTTAATAGAGCTGCAAATCTTATCATGTAAGCACCGACAGGTATGGGCAGTCTTGCAGAATGCTTCGCTGCACTGTTGCGACCAGATACTTCTTTACTGGCAGCTAACTGTTCTTACATTATGGTCTAAAACTTGGCGCTATTACAGAATTGCACATAGGGACTAGATTCTGGCCCAACTCGCTGCACCAAAACATGACTGACATAGAGAATCTTAACCTCTTTTCCCCTACGAGACTGTTGTCCAAACACCTTGAATCAAGCTAGAGCCACAAAATTGTAAGTACTACGGGCACTTTTCTATCTCTGGTATGGACATGCTATATTAAAACTAGTTTTCAGCAGATTATCTGAGATTTTTTTATCAGTAACATCGCTTCATTTAACCACACTATCACTGTGCAATTACAGCACATTTTCATGATCATAACAGAGACAGGCAGAGTCCAGGAGCACCTGCATTTATTTTGCAAAGCAAAAGGTGCCCATATAGGTGCATGTGCAATGTTATGATGGAAAAAAAAAAAAGAAGAAGCAATTCATTTCTTTGCAACACCAACACTTGCAAGAGGCACAATCGGATGCAAACAAAAACATTACAATTTTAGCCAACAAAAAAGTAAAAAAACTTAAATAGTATGCATGCACTAGACCTTTATTTCTAAAAATAACTTGCAAAGTAACAAAAAAGAAGACATAAAGAAAACAAGAGTAGAAAAGGTGTAAAACACCTAGCCCTTCTATCCACAGGATTTTAACCCTCTTAACAACGCTTGTATATGAAGCAAAACAGTTGGTACGCTTGCCCATGCCGAAAAACATTCCCTTGTGGTAAAAGTGACACCACGGCGACAGTCTGAAGTGTTGCAATATATTTACAGTGTGTTCATGAAATATTATACAGATGAGGAAAGAAAAAATCAAATGTCTTATTACATTAGCGACAACAATGATAATGGCCACAAAGCAAATCAATGTTCCAGGCTGTGCATTCAGGTTACAAGCATCACTTGTCCACTTTGTTGCGCCCATTAGCGCGCTCAACCCCACGTCCGCCAGCAGGTTCCGCATCCCACGTACTACGGATTGCTGAAAAGCAGAAAACAGGGATTGGTCTGAATTGGTAGATGGTACGGTAAAAAGACTAGAAGAGAGATTTCGAGGTAATTTTAGCAGCAAAGAAAGAACAATTACATGGCCACTGGAACAAGGCAGTAAAATGATCAGCATATATGATTACCCTGACCATTTAAATAGCACCAAAGCTGTACACCTAGCAGCCCTTCGAGGGTCAAGTATTTAAATATACAGCACTGCAAACATGTGCAAATTTGTCGTCATTGCACGTTTAGAGCTCCATATGAATATTTGAAAATCTGCCTAACTCCTTTTTTGCCCAGCAAGTGCTGTCAGCCTGTAGGAATGCAGAATTTTTTTTTTCTTGCGATGTTGACCTCCGGTTACCTTTTTAAAATTTGTTTAGACAAGCGCATTGGTTAGTGCTTGCACTCCACAAAGGTCTGTGGTGGTTAGTTTCGATTTATTTCACTGGCAGCTTTCTTTTATTGTGCTCTCAAAAACTGATTATACACAGTTTTTTCGCTCCTTAAAAGGTAACCACTTGATGCTAGCTAGTTCACTGCACACAGGGGCATGGCTTCAATGGTTCATGGGAGGGCACAGGTATGTAAACCAATTTCACAAAGAGGCTGCAATTTTTCCCACCACAGCGCAACCACCCAACATCTGCAATGTTTCGCCGCCATGCCAGTGTGCGGGGGTTTAGTGGCAGTTTATGCAGCGTATACGCTGTTTACAAGGTATTGCTATTGCTCAAGGTGCAGGGGCAAGCCACAAAACTTCGCGACTGCAAAGGTGCTAGTAAATAATCACTAATCTGTCGGGTTCAAAATGGTCGAAACAAACAGCAGCAGTGACCCCTGAGACGTTCCCACAGCGATGCCAATGCATACCTGCCAAGTTCAAGGATTCTGAATCCGGGAGATTTCCGCAACATGGGAAGGGGCGGGGGGAGGGAGTGTCGAGGCGCACTGAATTATTTTTCTCAATTTTTTTGGCAAAAAAAAAAAGACTGCAAAAACAAGAAGGGCTGGGGGGGGGTCCCAATCGCAAGCGCCAACATCGGCGTTGCAGTCTTATAATGGCTTGGAGTGGCCGAACAAATGAGCTAGGTTTCCCACTAAGGTGAGAGTCTCAAAGGGAAGCGCAAATACTCCCAAAATTTAGCGCCATTATAACAACCAACCAAATCTACTTCCGTCAAAACAACTCGCCGATGTCTTCCTGGGACACACGTGAACGGACGAGATGGCTCAGCTGGCTTCCTCAAAAGTGCGGGTCAAAGCTTTGGCTTCGCTTGCTATTAGATTATTTGAACAGGAACCCCAAAATGCTTCTAGCCTTTTATTACGTCTTCACTGCAATTAACCTACCGCTGCGTTAGCCATGTGTTCTCGGAGCTCGTAGATCGCTATCGTGTCACTGCAATTGCAGTTTTGTGCAGCGTGTATTGGCTGTGCACGTGTTTTATGCTATCTATGATCGTATCTGCCACTGTCTTGTCCACAGTTTGTGAAAAGCATCATTGCTTTGACTGGTAGCATGTTGGACGCGTGCACACTTTCGGAGTAGTGTCAGTAACGTCATTGCCATACATGATCGTGTCAAGAATGATCGCTGTTTCGTCCACAGCGGTTGTGGCAACAATCATATGCACTGTAGAAAACAGTGCATGCACAGATCGCACGTGTACTTCGATCGGCCTTCGTTCAAGGGCTTTAGTACTAAAGTTCATATCACGCCACAATAATAAAAAGTGTTCGGAACATTCGAATTTTGGCCCACTGCACACAGTGAATTTAATTTCAGGAATTCATACTTGCTGCAGTTTCGCATCACTGAGACTACTTTATGTTTAGATGAATGCCTACTAAATTCGTTTATAATAAAATGCGGTCGGTTCACAGAAAGCCTGGAGCGGACTGACCTGCATTTGCATCAATGTGGCCAGAGATCAAGCACAGGAATTTCGATTTCAGGGAAATTTTCATGACATCCGTACAAACAGAAGAAATGGGAGTCTCCCGGACAATCGGGGAGACATGGCAGGTATGCCAATGATAGATGTACGAGTCGAGTATAATTTAAATGTAGTTTTTAAAGGAAATGGGAAAAGGTTACTCCTGAAAGGATATTGAGCAACCGCCAGCAGCCACATGCACTCACTAACTAGGTGATGTCAGCCTATCCTGCATGGACGCTTTCCCTCAATAAGCATCCATGCGGGTCTTTTCTACTTTGCCTGACGTCACCTAGATAGTGCGTGTGGCTGCTGGCAGTTCTGCATTGTTTATTAAGTAGCAACCTTTACACAACCCCTTTAGCATGTGTAAATGGGTAACTGGTTTGTATGTTTTATTATAGCTGGCCTTGTGGGGTTCTGGGCGTAGTATGCACTGGCGTTAATTTTTTGGACAACTTTCGGACGAATAGGTGAAACGTCAATGGAGACGAGCGAATACATCTGCCATTGGCCAGCTGCACCTTAAGTGCACGCATAAATGTATAAAATCATCCCACCTTTTTTTCTCTTTTTTGCTGTGATTTTTGTTCCACGTAATTCTATAATCATCTACAGATCACCTGGTTCCACTTAGAATGTTGCAATACAAAGTTCGTGGAACGAAGGCAGCATGAGCAGTAATGCTCGAGTTGATTGTTGTCACCGTCAAAGTTAAAAGCTTGTGGCTTCTGATCGTTGTGCAGGATGAGAAAAGGATGTTGAACAGGCAAGCTCAAACTTCCATGCAGAAGCAACACAATAAGAAAATAAAAATAGGCGTGTAGCACATCTGGAAGCACAGCATGGCATAAAATTGCTTCGGCGCAAGCAGCCGCCACTGGCAATACATTGAAAGTGCACCAGTCTTTGATAATATTGTCATTGTGGTGTGCATGCCAATGGACGAGTGTGCCTGTGTGTGCGGCGATGAAAGGCGATGACAAGGACGCTGAAGCATGCGCAGAAAACGTGGGAACATGAGGAGTGGCATGGGAAAAAAGACAAGGATAGGGCAGACAGTCTGAGTTGTTCGATGCAGTCGTGTGGCCGGACCCGAGTGTTATACCTCAGTGTAGCAGTCCACGAGTTGAGGCTACGGTCGTCACGTGGCCGCCCACTACCTCCATCTCCTGCGCTTCGCAACTGCGAGCATCAAGCTCCCTCGCGAGTTCCCAGAGACCTGTGCCCACCTCCCGCAAGCTGCCCTCTCACTGCTCAGTCCCTCATCGTCACCATGCCTCAGCATTACGCCTCTCTCAACGCAAGTGGGTGAGCCTACGTCAACTTAGAGCACATGACTTTTGTGTGAGATTAGGAATGCTAATTGGCTAGTGTGTGCTTTCTCTGTGTTCCTAAAGTGTTCCAAACCTGCAAGCAGCCTCATCAGTTTGGTGGGAACGTCCACGCTCCCTGCCATTACACCAGAAAAACAAAGTAAAACAAACCTTTCCCATTACAGTCGTCAGTTTGCTTTTTGGTGAGTACTTAAAGAAGCATCACAACTAGAATAAGGTAACGACTTGGCTTTGAATGAATACAAGTCAAATATTCCCGACACCCAGATTGCCATCACAGGGGAAGAAAAAAGCGCTGTTGTCATAACACTACCCCAGTTATTGTCACCAAGTTGGTTAAAAAATTATGGACCATCTCCCCGAAGGCAACACCGATGGGATGAGAAGCAGCAGTGGTTCGCACAGCTTTGACCCCATTGAAACTGGCATCAATGCGGGTGCTGGAAGAATGTTTACTTGCGTAAAGATTTGTTTAAAATGCAAAGACACAAGAGGCAGGTTCGGTTTCATGTAAGTTTCATCACATATAAACGAGCTGAAAGAGTAGACAGATTTAGTCACGCATCCATAGCAGCTGTACGGACGCAGCCTGCTAGCCATTTGCAATGGCAGGCGGCGTTCGTACAGCTGCTGCGGACGTGCAACTAAATCTGTCTAGTGTTTCCACTCTACGTGTGGTCGAGCACAGCAGGCGGTGGAAAGGATGAAGCGAGAGAGAAGCGTGTTGCGAGCTGGCGGAGGAGCCAGCAGCTGCTGCGGGTGAAGGAGAGATTGATGTCAACGCACAGCTGCGACTTGACCTACTTGACATCGTTCTAGCAAATGCGGTGAGGGGCGCGCAATGTGGTGCATTGGCACGGAGACACGAACGGACAGCGCTACACAGGCTAATCAAAGAGCTGCTTCACATGTAAAACATGTCGTCGAAGAGAGACCTGTTACTGCACCAAAGAACACTTATGTCATGCGGGCCTTTTTGTGATATAGTTTGGAAAGTGCTAATTTGATAACCTTGACATTGCACGCACTTAGATTTCCCTAGCCGTACATGCATTTAGCTGATGTGCTGTTGCATAGAAATGAGGGGTGTTGATGTTACAAGAGAAGAATTCTTGGCAAAACATAATCTGTATTAACTGTCAGCTTTGACATTGCTTCTCTTTGCTGCAGATGACAAAAGTGCACCAAAGCAGAATCACAAGCTCATGTCAAAAGAGAGAGTTTGGGTTTTAACTGCTCTATTTCACTATTTGTTTTTTATAGTTTGAAGAAATGTAATAGCTCACAAACTGGTTTGTAAAATTGAACTGCTTCACACTTTGGTCCAGCACACTAAGCTCAACCAACCTTCAACTACAAGTGGCTCCATGCCAGAGACTCTAGTGTGCCCAGCAGACACACTCTAGGCAGCACTACTACAATGAAAGTACTCGTAAGTTGATCAGAACTTGCTTTTTTCAGTTTTTCATTAATTTAACTTTTTCATTTCAAATCTTATGTTCAACTGTGAGTATGGCACATCCATAATCTTCGCTAGGAAGTTTCATAACCAATATCACTAAGTTATTGAAGTAGGTTGCTGCAGTACCCAAACTCAAGCAACTACCTTGTGAGCACTCTTCACATGGCAAGCATGGTACAGACCTTCAGCATAGCATCCTTGAGCTCTCTCTTTTGAGTGTATTTTTCTACTGATGAAAACAGGTAAAAGA